TTTCTTTTTCTTTTTTTGTTTTTGTTAATTTCAGTTCTTTTTAAAGTATAAATTGCTAGGGTTGTACTTTTGAAAAGTCAACCCTTTTTTTATTTATAAAAGTATTGGACAAGACCAACACATGCACGTCGCCTATAGAACCCTTATCTTGTCACCCCTCCCAAACTTGCATATAATCTTGTATACAATGAGCACGGTTGAACCCTAAACCATTAAACCGATGCTTGTGTTAGGTACTAGCTGCAAGGTGCATTAATGTTGCGTAACTTACATACATACGAGGCTCTAGGGGTGAGCACGGCTCAGTTTGGTTCTCTTCAAACCGAAAACCAAATCGTGAAGAATAACCGGTCCACTTCAGTTTGATGTTGCACAAAAATTGCCATTTGATCTGAACCAGTCCGAGAACGGTTCAGTTCATGTGGGCTCACGACCATTTGAATTCTTTTTATTCTTGTGTTTTCCGATCATAAAAAGAGAAAAACAAGAGATGTTATGTTCAACAATGAAATCCATCTAGCACACACCCTAGTTTAAGAAACTATATATACGAGCATTTTCAAAACCGATTCTATACAATTACTATAGAATCATGCAAACACACCTAAGGTCAGTTGGTTAAGAGCATTTACATATGCACCTGTGGTCCTACGGTCCTAGGTTCAATTTCTCCCCTTCCCCAATATCGCTTTGTATTATAAAAATAAATAAGAAATAAATTGTACAAGTTATAACCATTTGGTATTTGCACAGCTTGAAATCAACAACGTAGAATTCTGAAAACAAATTATTCATGGGTGTCATAAATACAGTCACACTAAACATACTTTACAGCCCTAATTGCAATGCAACCTATGAGTTGGATCTGCCATAGAGGCCCAACAGCAGACTTGTCCTATTCCTATTGGAGAGCACAGCCCAGGAACGCTAAATAAAACAAATGGACAAACGCTTTTACTAAAAAACAAAACCCTTTTACAAACAAACCAGAAAGCCTTACGAATCCATTTGACCAACATGGACAAACGCTAGTGGTTTCTTCGTTTCAGTGCTTTCTCAAAATCAGAGAAAAAATAAAAACCCTTTTATCTCCTCTTTTAAGCTGTTTGTCAGTTGTCCAAAACCCTAATTTAAAGGCAGCACCAAAAGAACATGTACTTCCAAAGAAGAAATGGACATCTAAGAACTATGCTTCAAAAGAAAAATTCCACAACGGGATATGTCAGAAACACAAATCCAATTTCATTTACACAAAATGTGGAAGGATAGGATGTAGAATGTGAGTAGAATTCATGCAGATATAAGCTTATCATCTAAGTACCCTGGGATTCATACAACTAACTCGATCCTCTCATAAAAAATGGTGATCTCCAAGGAAGTGTGGAGTGCACAGGTAAACAAAAAAATAGCTTTGGAAAGAAACCCCTATATTCTAAGCTCTTCAGTTTCGCAGCATCAGGATCAAGATAATATATACATGCATCTAACAATCAGACTTCAAAATATAAATGGAGGTAGACATACCTTAAGCATTTCATTAATCCAGAGAAGTGAAACGTCTCGATCTTTTCACACTCCGTACGGAAAACAAGCATTGAGCTAGGCAATGACCATCGAAGAATATTGTATCAGAAGATGATGTAACAAGTCAAAAAACAAGACTGAAGGAGAGAGAGGGAGGGAAGGAAAGAAAGAGAGAGATCATCATCAAGACATCAACTAGCTCTCCTATACATCTCTCAGTTGATTGGCTAAAAGATTAAGAGAACTTAGTCAATGATTGAAAAGCTTTCTGCATGGAAAGCTTTAAGTCACATGATACAGATATGGAGTAGGAATAGATTACCATCATATAGATCTGCCCCATGAATATATACACCAGATGATTGGCTATGATATAAAGAATCTAGTCAAAGCTCTAAATTTTCTGTGCAAAGCTGATAATCACATGGTTGGAGTGGGTAAGATTGAAAAGAAGTACCAGACCAAAAAAATAAAAAAATAAAAGAAGAAGTCATTATTAACAGATAAAGTATGAAGGTATCCCCATATGCTTTGCCTTGTCATCTCCTTCCAATGATTGTTATATACTATAAAAAAGACATAAGTCTATAATTACAAACGGCAATTCATATTATGAGGTCCCACATGTGTGTAAACATAGACCTCACAACATATGGTGCTTATACTTTGCTACCAAAACTAAGTTAGACCATGTCTTAGAAATTAAAATACACATGTTAAGTCCTTGTAACTTCTGCTAAGAGACAAACTAGGCATAAGCTGGAAAGCTTTGCAGGGTTCCAGATTATGACTTTGTTATGTGGAAATGGCAGAGAAAGTTAATGCTGCCAACCCCAACTTTGACAGTTCTGAGAGAGGAATCATTAAACAATTAATCAAATCCAGATTTCACTTTTCTGGCTCTATATAATATCCAGGACGGTGATCAATCCTTCAAAAGCGAAAAAGGAATCTTTGATTTGTTCTTTAACAAATCCATGTTTGGTCATAATTCCAGGACAAACTACTATTCGTTTTCCACACAATCAATTTTTAATTAGAATGATTAGGCTAAACCTAGCAATATTCCAAAGGATATACAAGACCGAGAATGAAGTCAAAGCCAGCGTCAATGTCCATGGTCATGCTATCAACAGCCTAGCTACTAGCCAGGACCAAACACTGAGGGGGGGGAGAGAGAGAGAGAGAGAGAGAGAGGGTAAATGGTCATCCTCAAATTTCTACATTTTTTAAAATTGGCAGATAGATTTCAAACTATGGAGTCGTCCCTGTCAAATCCAAAACAAATTTGGAGGCCGTGTTTTTCATCTCATTCAAAAAAGTACATGATATATAAGCATTAAGAGTCATGCTTGAAGCATTAGACACCAACGCAGACAGCTAGCTTTCACATACGAATAGAAGCTCATTACCTACTAAGCGAACATGATTCATGTTTGGATTATATGATTTAAAAAGTCAACAAAATACGTTTACATTCAACAATAAAGTGGACTTTTTATTTGATTCCAAGATAAGGTGTACCTAAAGACACATTTAGATAAGAGGATATATTACTACAAATACAGTAACCCCTTTGAAATTTTATGTAATAACACATGCATCCCCTTAGACTAACACTTACCTCCTTGATCTAAATCGTTGTGAACATTACAAACTTACTCCAAAGCAAGGTTTCTCTCCATTGTTTTTGAAATTATTATAGTCATTATTAAATGCCGCATTGAGAAGTATGTTCTGTTTGTAATCCTAAGTTTCATCTCGAAATTCGTAAGAGAAGCTAGTTATAGAAATTAAAAGGAAAAGTAAATCTGAATAACCAGTTCTCACATGCTGAAAGACCGACAATTTTATGCAATCAAAATAAACCACATTATTTCAGCACTGTTTATGCAGTCCTAATCCTAATACAATCAGAGTTTGCACTGTACAACAGAATCATGAAGCATCCAATCCAATGAGCATAGATGCATTTCCTAGAAGTTTAGCAACTACAAAATTTCTGCACGTAAGTCATGACATCATTAAGTCCAGTGGGACTTTTCTGTAATTCCTATACAAGAAGCTAAGATTGCTAGTCTTCCATTATTGTCTCGAACATGGGATAGATCTGATGTTTATTAAGTGGAAGAGTATAAACATAAATCCCGGGAATTTAAGCAACCAAATCGAGCATCAAAAGAATAACCATACATTCAGTATATACTGTGCATAAGTGTTCATAATGTCACTACTAAATTGCCATCGGACAGCAAGAAACTTCCTATTTGCAAAGAGAGGCACTATGTTCCTGAAACAACCAGAGTAAATAAGAAGTGCCATCTACAGAAAGGAAGTTAACTGACTCCAACAGGAAGCCATCTCACAAATATGCCCACCAACTTCAAGTCACCATCCTACCTTTTAGGTTGGTATCCATCTTAAGAGCGCCAAAGGAAGTTCCCATAGGAAGGATTGTTGCAGGGGAAGGGAAATATCAAAAACCATTAAAAGCTCAATTGATAACAATGAATTTTTTTTCCTAAAGGAGAACCTTATAGACAAAAGGCTTAACCATCAACAATCATAACATAGGTACTTCACAATCATACCATAAGTATTTCACTTTCCACTGATATCCACATTTATTCTGCTTGATGAAAATCAACTGGAGGTGGTTAACCAATCGGGAATTTATAAAAATTCAAAACGAAAGAAAAAGGCTACTTATTAAGCAGGAACATATCTGAAAATTATCATATTAAAAGAAAAGAAATTAAAGTTTTTGTAAACTGCACACCAATTATGATTACAACAATTATATCAAATGTACAACAAGCTCAATTTATTCTATGAAAATTAATTCTTAAAAGGAACAGAACGGTAACAGCTTAATCAGTACCAATCTAGTAATATGATTCCCTTTCCACTGGATCTCCTTGTAAAATGTTTATCTCAAATCAGGGCAAATACAAAAGTCAGTTAAAATTCATAACGGACAAAAAATGGGTGTTCTATCAGGAAATGACCAACATTCAATGAGAAGGAAACTAACTTTAATTTACATTTTAAAACAATAATAAAATAACAAAGAAAAACAGTAACATGTGCATTAGAGAAGAGCACAATTATATTTTGTCTAAATTATGTTACAAAAGAATCAATCTGCAAAAATTCTTTTTCATATAAGTAGCACCAGTTTAGTGAGAACAAAATACATAGAGAGAGATGCAAAAAACCAAAGAAAGGTGATGAAATCTAAAGGGGCTGCTACTATTCATGCCTCTCCTGTGAACTCTCCAATATTGGTGTCTTTTACAATCCCCACTCTTGCACAACAGCATGTTCCCCAATCTAATTCAGTTTACTCAAAATAACATGTAAATATACGCATGTATCCTCAACCAGTTCGAGGAAAACTTGTCTGTAACATGATGCAAAATGCTACACGGATCACTGGCATGAGTCGCACAATATAAGCCTTTTCAAACTGAATATTGGCTTTTGATTTCCTTCCCCATTGCTTTACATCTATTTGTTATTTTGGGCTACTGATCAACCACCAGGATTCAAACTATACCTCACCTAAGTAATCAGCTTAGTGTGTCAAAAAAGAAAACTTTATAATTTTATGCTTCATGTTTACATGTCTAAAATATCAGTCAATGAACAACCTACCCAACAGAAAATCCAGATTCCAGGGCATAAAACTCACAGCAAAGGAATTTTTTTACAAATGAAGGTCCCCTATCTCCAGAACAGAGCAATATAGTTCAAAATAATGTATTTCAAACAGACATTTCAAATGAGCAATGAGATTGGCCTTCGTGTCTTTTCCTCACTACCCCATCCAGCATGAATCTCATCCACCAAGTTCCCACAATTTCACATGGCAACATCATAATCATCTTGGCAGCTAAAATCGGAATGACGAAAAATATATAAATAAATAAACAAAACACTTCAAGAAACAGGACACTAACCAGCAATCAGAGAAAGGTCAATCACATCCAATCCACTCAAGATTTCCATAATCCATATCTAAATACCAAATACAACAAAAGAATGTTACCTTTTACTCCAAGCACACACTAGTAACAAACAAAATGGGTAACAGCCTAACTCTCCTCGGAACTTGAAATATCAACTAGACCAACTCTCTCATCCTCCGGCAAAACCGACCAATTTGGCGACTGAACCGCCCGCAACCAGAGGAAATCATCCACATTGCTCCAATTCTCCGTCTCCTCATCAAGACTGGCCTCCCTAAGCTCGTCCTCAATCCCTTGATAACTCAAACAGTATGGCGCAAACCTCACGCCGCAACTGTCCTCAATTATAGGCCGGCTCCTCACCCTCAAATAAAAATCACTCCTTTTTGCATTGTGAATCCGAATTTGATGAGACGCCATTATAAAAACACATCCTTCAACCCCATCAATTAGAACTGAACCCGTTACAGGGCCCGTATAAACCCTACAGTTCCTTAATCTATGAACAAAAAGCGCTCTCACAGAACCTGTTAGCCTCACCTCACAGGAATCAAGGTCCGCAATCGTAAATTCTCCCAATTCCGATCCCTTAAATTTATGCACCAAAAGCTCGCCTTTCTTGTTCCAAAAACCAGGGGACTGCGGAACCCTGAAACCCGGTTTCTCAGGTTTCTTCTCTTCCTCCTGCTCTTTGGATTCGAAGATTGGGTCTTTTCTGGTGGGTTTGTTCTTGAAAGCGAATTTCTTCTTGGGTAATAACTCGGAGCTCAAAATCTCGAGACTTTGCCTCAAATCTGATATCGTTTTCAGCGAGGACCGAACTTCGTACGAGGGTAAAAAATACGAGTTCTCGGCGACGAGCTTCTCGAGATCGGAGATGGAGGAGGAGATTTGGTCGAGCTGGGGTTTGACTTGAGTCGAGTCAGAGAGTCCGAGTCGACATTGAGCTAGTTGAGACTCGATGGAGCTCTTGGAGTTGGAAAAGCGGGAAAGGAAGGTTGATGTGGACTCAAAGGAAGGAGAAGAGGACGAGTCGGACTCCGCGGATCGGCGGGTGAGTGAGCTGCCTAAGCGAGTTTGGTGACGGTCGGTGAGACGGTCGAGCATTGATTGGTGCTTCTTTTGGAGGGCTGGGTCCACATCTAGGGGATTAGGGCTAGACGAGAGAGCTGCTTCTTCTTCATTTTCCATCGATGGCAGCAATAGGTTTGATTGAGAAAGCTTAAATTTGCAGAATGAGAGAAAAAGAGGGACTTGGCGACTTGGCGACTTGGCGATTTGGCGATTTGGGTTTTGCCCTTTTATACCTTTTCCTTTGGCTCCATTTTTTTTTTATTACCCCTTTTTAATATATATTTTCTTTTACAAATGTGGATAAAGCTAGCTTGGGTCAGGTCAGTGAAGTCCTGCATCCCAAAAAAAAATCTTATTTTATAATTTCATACCATTGTTTTCTGGAGAGTTGCGGTATATGAAGTTTTCTTGTAACCCTGAAAGATCATAGTGACTTTTAATTTCCACAACTATTGACCTTCGGACCGAAATTGCTTCCTAAAAATTTGAAGTTGAGAACGAAAAATCATAACACTATGGTCCGAGCCTCTAATAGGAAGTTACTCCAAATAAACAAGAAAGAAATATGAAACAGTAGCAGCAGATGAACAAGAATTACCTCCTAAAAAGTATTTCTGAAAGCGTTGAGCAGAAAATCTTAAAAGTGGTTCCGATTCGTGAGGAAGAAGTTGAGAAAAGAAGGCATCAAGTGGGACTTTTAAGAGAGACAAAAGTACAACACCACCCTACCCGCAACAGATCCATACTTCACAATGCCATTCACCATTTTAGGGATTAAAGAAGACATCAAATGGACTTGAGAAGAAAAAAAATATCACATTATCCTACCTACAACAGATCATTATAAACAAATTGTCTGAAAGAGCACTTGAGCAATGATTTAAACAAAAAAAATTCCAGATTTCTAATTTTCATGGGTAGACTACATGGTATTTGCCGGATACATATGGATCATGCAGCCTTCTCAGCAGCTTCTGCAGCTGCTTCTTCCTCTTGCAACTTAATCAATGACGGAGGTGGTCTGACAACAATGCTCCTCTTCCATTGTCGATCGAACTTCCTTGACAACCTCTTACCGATTCCCTCCTCAATCTCTCTTTCTCGTTTAACAGTAAGCAGGCGAGCAATCTACAAATCAAAGCCAACTTCACATAAGTACAATCCCAAGCTGATCTGAAACTACAAGAGCAGCCTCCCAAACAACCTCAAAAACTCAACATTTGCACAAACGAGATAGCAAACAAATAACGGAATTATAATAACCTAGCAATCTGTACTCAGATGGCATCAATGAATTGAAAATGCTGTGAAGACATCAAAACTCAAGCCCCAGGTCATCTCCCCACCCAAAATTAGAAGTTGCACCTACGAGAAATAGAATCTAAGTTTTTTTTTCTAAACAAAGGGCATGCTTAGTAGTTGTAGTCTTCTAAACATTTTGCAGAGTGAACACTACAAGATGAAACCAAAACAAAAAACAAAGAGAAATGAAAAAGAACCAGCAACACCATGACCTTAGCCACAAGTATTTCCAACAATCTAAGCATCATATAGTTTATACTATCAAATTCATAAGCTCCTTCAGATTTCTACCACAACGCATACCGATTCAATAGGCACTTTACAGTGAATTCGAATTTGGAAATCCAAATTTATCTAAACCAATCTTAATCACTACGCCCTGACAATGAAAAATAATCAGAAAATTCCCATTTTCTTCCCCATCATTTTCTCTCTTAAAGCACTTTTTTTGGTCTTCTGATAAGCTAAGGAAAATAGAACCCACATTTCATAATTGCATTCAACCTATGAAAATTAATTCTTTGAAAAAGAAAAAAAAAATTACCCTTTTGCGCATTCGACGGAACTCGCTGGATGTGAACTCGTTGCGAGCCGATTTCTGGAGGCGAAGCATGAAGAGCTCACCTTTGAGCTCAACCACCTCCTCGTTGATTTCTTCGGTGGTTTTGGTTCTGATTTCCTTCATCTCTTCTTCTCTCTTGGCCATCATCACCACCGAAGACGACGAGCAAGGCCTCCGAAACGACGCCGTTGGGAGACGAACGACAGTGTTCGGGCAAGCGCGTTGGAATCGCAGGCCATTGAACGAGGACTTGGGGATTGGCGAGAGCAGCTTTGCGGGGAATGTAACCGTTGAAGGTGGAGCTATGGAGATTGCGCCCAACATCGTTGTTCAGCTTCTCTCTGTCTCTCCACTTCAGTGCTTCTGGCTTTGGGATGTAGATAAGGCCGATAAATCTTTTTTTTTATTTTTTTATTTTGGGTGCTGCTTTAATTTGAAAGCAAAAAATTCATAAGTAAATTCTATCAAAATACTTTGTCAATGAAATTCCCAATTTAACCTTAGAATATCTTTATTTTTAAATTCATCAAACCCACTGGCCTAGGTATGGATTGGTTCGGTCCCAACGAGAGTCCAACTCGTTAATTAACCAATACTTTTTCGTTAAAAAACTTTGGGCACCTAAAATAATTTGATGGGAAATCAATCCTTGTGTCTTTTTCAACGAAATGAAAATTGAGAAAAATACTATTTATTTTAATTCTCATATTTGATTTGGGCAGTAATTGAACAAGTTTGTTTAGTTTTTTTAACTATACCCTTAAATTAAAAATCTGCAATAAATAATAAAAGAAAGCCAATAGTCTTGTTACTGGATAAAATTGCGAAGGGAAAAACCTTTCCGCAAACTTGAACTTACAAACATTTCTTGAGAACCAAATGCATCCTTAAAGAATTAAAAGAGATGATGTATTCTTGCACCGAAGTCCTAGGTTTGATTATTCTCTCTCACATTTTCAATATCGCTTGTATTAAAAAAAAAAAAAGGAAACAAAAAGAAAGGGAGTAGTCATTCAAGTGTTTGGGCTAAGGGGTAAGACCATCTCTAGTCATAGGGCTAAATGTAGTCCGGGCTAAAAATTTAGCCCATATTTAGCCCTCCAAAATATTAATTTTTTAAAGAATAGTGCAGGACTACATTTTTCCATATGCAGCCATGTATGGCTATACTTTAGGTCCTTCATATTTTATTATTTTGAGAAAACCTATGGTACAATATTCATACATTCCACAACTGTGTATTGTTTAATTTAATTAAACTACTATTTAGAGACAATATTTCATATATAACAAGATTTTTGATAAGATTTTGTGTCCACGTGGCACGTCTTATCCTGAATGAATCTTAATAAATTTTCCGACTATGATTTTCGAGTGACACATATTGAATTTTTTAACAATTTTTTCTTAAATAACACGAATTGAAAACATTTAAAACATTTAAAAAGTATGTGTGAAAACATGAATTGGTGTAGAGTAGTTGCCTAATCCTCTAGAACTTTGTCCCCTTTTTTTGTACTTGTTACCATTTTCTCCTCATTAATAAAATACTAACGCCTTTGTGTTAAAAAAAAGTAAAAAGGGATGGGCAATGGTCTAACCTCCAACCATCATGACCATTAATTTTTTATAAATTTTTCTTAAACAACACGAATTGAAAACATTTAAAAATGCTTTATATATATATCCAGCTGACATCATCGATGACATCGGCACTTTTAATGTTGGCTAGATATGCATTTGCACGAGATGATTTGTGCTCTTGTCCATAGTTGATAATTTATTTTCTTTAAAAATACATGTATGGAGCCCACAAAAAATTTAACATAGGCCTAAGCTAGGCTACATGTGGCCCGGTAAATGATATGAAGCCCAACTGGGCCGGATTACTAATTTTATGTTTGTTTCAGGCCGAACTAGTATTGAAAAGCAGCTTGGCAGAGCACGTGAACGTGATGAGGTGATGTGGAGTAAATATTTGCTTAATTTATCCAATTCTATTTTTATTTTTTTCATGAATATAAATCAGTTTAATTTTACCTCCATTTATTTATCGATTTATTAATTTCGGTAATTTTCTCATTTCCTTTCGTTCCCCTTCCTCCTCTCTCTCGAAAAAAAACTCAACCTTCATTCTTTCCAAGCTCAACTTCCGAACGAAACCCTAACAATTCAGACGCACAGAGAGAGAGCAAACCAGTTGAGCAAGCGACCCAGTTGTATATGGCATGCGAGTCGTTGAGTTGAATCGGCGAAAGAGGATCTGAGTGGTCGGCGATAATTGATATTGGGTATTGACTTGGTCTGATGGGTGCTGCGGGCTCCAAACTCGAGAAGGCTCTCGGCGACCAGTTCCCCGAAGGCGAGCGATATTTCGGCCTCGAGAATTTCGGGAACACTTGCTATTGTAACAGCGTTTTGCAGGTTTCGTCCTCATCCGTCAAATTGTGTCATTTCATTAGCAAACTTTTCAAATTAGGGTTTTTTATTTTATCGGTATGTATAATTCTGTGGTATAATGAGAATGACGTGAACTGTTTGCAAATTATGAGCTGTGATTGTTTCTAATTCAGTAATGGTGAAAGTTAACTTAATCGGATTGGATATTGTAGTTCAGCGGCTGATTTTTGTGGTTGTTCATGATCGCTTACATGACTGCTTAGCTAGTTTAGCAAGTGCTTGGTTTGTGTTGATGTTGTCCTCGCGTTCTTTAATAACGTTAACAGTCAGCATCCAAGGTTTTCGCTGACGTCAAAAAGTGTGACCATTTTCTGCTTTGCTGTTCAGCTTTCCAGTGGCAGCGCAAAGTGTATTTCTGGGTTCCGGATGTACTTTTTGAAATGTTAGCACATCGTGCAATGACATGCTGCTATTTTGTTTGTCTAAATGGATGAGCGCTGGATGAAATCCCTCTTAGGCGCTCTTGTCTTCCCAATTTACTACAATTGATATCTTTGGATTAAGATGGTTTCCGTAATTATTATATTTACTCTGTAAATTGAGAATCATGTATGAAGAGAAGAAAGTGTTTGTCAAACACAGTTATGAGTGTCTAGGCTAGGTACTTGGGCTGCATTTTAACTTAATATTGTAACTAAAATTCAGTGTTCAGTTCAACCTTGGATGCTTCGGGAGGGAGTTCACATGGTCTTTCAACATATCTAATGTGTAATTGGGTTTTTGTTAGACACTCAGTATGTTTACCACTTCTATCTTTGTTCCATGCATTCTGAAAATATTAGTGCCAATATTTTTCAACTAAATATGTGTATTTTACTATTGGGTGAAACCATTACTTAAAATATAAGTCAATGTCTTATCCTGTTTAGGTTGTTGGAATTCAAATTTCTAAAGTTATCATCAATGCCTTATCCTTTTTATTTCTTCATGCAGGCACTTTATTTTTGTGTTCCATTTCGTGAACAATTGCTTGAATATTATTCCAGCAACAAAAGTACTGGGGATGCAGAAGAAAATCTCTTGACATGCTTAGCAGACTTGTTTACACAGGTAACAACTATACTAGATATATATGGTACCTGTACATTAATTGATCATCTCAGGTGGGACTTGCAATGTTAGGGTTGATCTTTGTATTTTTGTACTCTGTATGCCACTGTAACTGTACAGCCCTCCTTCCTCTGCTGTTCTGCCATGTCTAATCTATGGGAAACAACTGAGTTATCTGTTCCAGTTTCCCTAATACAGGAACGTTTATCTTGGGACTAACAGCTTTTTCTTTCCTGTATATGATATGTCAAATCTATTTTATTTTACGTCATTTACAAGAATTGAAATGTAAGCAAGCCCAGTATATATGACTTTTGAGAATTGTGAAAAACAAATCTCGAAATATGTGATGCTAGTTTCCCAAATGTTCATGACATGGAACATATGCCTTCGGCAATTGTTTAGTTTTTTGTGCTGTGATTAATAGTTTATTATTTCTTTGTTGTAGATAAGTTCCCAGAAGAAGAAAACAGGTGTCATTGCTCCAAAGCGTTTCGTTCAGAGATTGAAGAAACAAAATGAGCTTTTCCGTAGCTATATGCACCAGGTATGTCTTTCCTTCTAACTACCAAAATGTGCTTTTTCCTTTGTTATGGAAATTTTCTAGAAATTTATGTCCGAACATTAAAAGATTTATTTGAATAATTGTAAAACAATATTATTAAGGATTTTAATTAGAAAAAGTATCACCATCATCTGTTGAAAGCTTAAGCACGAGCCTTATGGGATGAGTAATGCTAGTGTATCCATGGTGAGGGCTACCATTTGGCAGTTAAACTGTGATTGTGTGTATTTGAAGTGGCTGTGTATGATTGAATCGTGATGACAATTATATGACATGGTTTTATATAATTGAACTGTTATGGCAATTAAATGAAGTGATTGTAAATCGTTATATATAGCTGGACCTCTTTCTATACCCTGAACTACGATTTGAGAAATAGCTAAAAAATCACAATTTTGAAGTCTCATAATTGTTGGCGTTTGTGCAGGACAGTTGTAATGTTGTTGCACATTTGTGAATGTTATACACAAGGCCAGATTTTGAATTTGGAGATTTTACAGAAGTTCCATTATTTTGTATAATGGTTGTGAATGTAGTTGCAGATGGCCTTTGCTGATACACAAATTTATATATGTGATGTAATGATGATACTCTATCCCTCTTGGTATATCGGTGCATGTCTCCTTGTTGCATTGTTGTCAAATCTTTCTGTCGAATATTTGAAGAGAATGTTACTTATTTTTTTCCTTGCTTGTTGATCAAATATCTTTCATTTCTCATTACACACAAATATAATGTTGCATATTAATAAATGTATCTATCAATTTTATTCTGGTTTTGTAGGATGCTCATGAGTTCTTAAATTTTTTGCTTAATGAACTTGTTGACATACTGGAGAAAGAAGCCCAAGCAGCAAAAAGTGATCAAGAAACTTCACCTCCTGAAAAGATGGTAAATGGTCCAAAGAATGCTCAGGCCAATGGTTCTCATAAAGATCCCTTAGTTACCTGGGTGCACAAAAATTTTCAGGTGATTTTGCTCTGCCAAATCATTTTTATCATAGCAGTTTCCGTGTGGTAACTTTTATGTACGTGTGATAATCCCAACTATATGCCTTTCTATTGCATGCAGTTTTTGTACTTTTGATAGTTTTGTGGTTGTATTTTTGAATTGATTCCTCAGTCATACAAGATATGTTTTGGCTGAGATTAGTGGTAGTCTTTGAATTTATCAACTTCTCCTTTTATAAACATAACAATAAGAGAAGGCAAAACCCCCAATGTTGTGGCCATTATTGACTGATTCTTAACTCGTTACTGCATTTTACATTGTCATACAGTATCACAAACATAACTCTCTGTGGTTTTATTATTAAGAATCTCATAATTTTCAATTTCTGTTTGAGTCAGGGAATACTCACCAATGAAACGAGGTGCTTACGGTGTGAGACAGTGACTGCAAGAGATGAAACATTTTTTGACTTAAGCCTGGATATTGAACAGAACAGTTCAATTACAAGCTGTTTGAAAAACTTCAGTTCGACAGAGACATTGAATGCTGAGGACAAATTCTTTTGCGACAAGTGCTGCAGGTAGTTGTCTATCATTTACTTGCCTTTGTTAATATATGATTTTCTGTTTTCTGTTTTCACCTATAAACTGTGGATACCATCAGTGCTTATCTGGGTTCTGGCTTTACTAACATAAAGCTCTATGCATCTAATATATTGTCCCAAGAGTATTTTTGAAGTTCTGGGAGTTCAACCATAGAGAAATCAGAAATAAGCAGCACATGGCTTTAGGCTGTTGGTGCTGCTGCAATCAGTCTCTAGTACCCTTCTGCTTAAAGATTGACTTAATTGAGCAAAGTATGAAATTTTATTATGCAAAAGAGGAATTGAGATCTATCCTCCATTCCCAAAAGAGTAAATGCTAAGCAATTTGCTTGGCATTTGTTAACTCCTCAAATGATAGGAGCTGGTTGCCAGGTGTGTGTGATGGGTATATGATAATATTTATGAAGAAAGCATTGATTCAATTTTTGATTGATTTAGTAAGAATTCCCTTTTTCCAGCCTGAAAGCTGACAAGGTAAGCTCTTTATTTTATGCAGCTTGCAAGAAGCGCAGAAGAGAATGAAGATAAAAAAGCCACCTCACATCTTGGTCATCCATTTGAAGCGATTTAAGTACATCGAGCAGCTTGGCCGTTACAAGAAGCTATCTTATCGGGTTGTATTCCCACTTGAACTGAAGCTGAGTAACACGGTTGAAGATGCAGAATCCGAGTATTCTCTGTTTGCCGTTGTTGTCCATGTCGGAAGTGGCCCAAACCACGGACACTATGTTAGCCTTGTGAAAAGCCATAACCACTGGTTATTTTTTGATGACGAAAACGTGGAGATGATTGATGAGTCTGCTGTGCAAACTTTCTTTGGATCAGCGCAGGAGTATTCAAGTAATACAGATCATGGATACATCTTGTTCTACGAGAGCCTCGGCACCAGTAACAAGAGTTAAGAAGATGGCTTTGGATTTAAGATGGTTGGGTATTTCTAATCATTTGGACTTTTGCATTTCTTCTGTTTTGTGTTTACTATTTTTCTTTTTTTCTTTTTTATTTTTCCCCCTTTTTCAACCTGTGGGAAGAGCTGTCAAATATCAATGAGATGATGTGGGTTGTGAAAAAAAAAAAAAAATGTATACTTAGGTGGTTCGCATGTACAGTGGATGGTCGAAGCACACCATCCTTTTTTCTTTTTCCTTTTTTTTTTTATAACTTTTTTCACAATAAGGAAAAGGGTAGTGTATATGGTGAGAAATTTCAGACAGTCAGTATTCTTCGCGGTTGAGAACATTAAACACTAGAAATGCCATGCAATTGGAATTGCTCATCACTATTTTTCTTCTTGTGAACCTTGTCTTTATGAGGCTTAGGTTTTGCAGGTGTTCAGGGGTCGTATTTGAAGTAAAAACTTAGTACTTGATTGATGTAATATTCAAAATATCTACCTTCTCGTGCAACATGGTTCAAAATAATCCAATAATTTTAAAGGAGTGTGTTTCCCATACAATCTCAGAATGCACGGCTACGGTGAGTGTTTTTGTTCAAACAAGTTCGTATCTTCAAAAGTATAATAACCCAAATCTCAAATTGGAATCTCGATTGGTTTTTGAACCAGCCAGACTCGAAAGGCATTTTTTGACATGGCACATGGCACTGATCTATACTTCTTTGAAGAAAACCTAGGCCCATTCGGTAATGTTTTAAGGGGTTTTCATTTTCAGAAAATAAAAATGAGGCAAAAACACGTTCGGTAGCCCAAAAACAGAAAACATTGAGAATGTTTTCATAAAATGAAAACAAGTTCATGTGTACTTGTAGAAAATAGAAAAAAAGTTGTTTTCATTCTCATGGGAAACATTTTCATAAAAAGAACTCACATATTATTTCAAATTGTACTACCAGACACGTTTTCATTGTTTTTGTTTTCTGAAGATGTTTTCTAATTAATCTACCAGACGCATTTTCATTTCCTGAAAATGCAAATTCGTTTTCTTATTTTCATTCTCTGAAAATATTCTAAGAAAACATTCTCCGAAAACGTTACCGGACGGGCCCCTAACATTTTAAATATATAATGAGCTGAAAAATAGCCCACTTGGTATCATCAAATATGAAAAAATAGCCGTTAACTTGATGATTTATAACTTTAAAGTTGTTTGTGCCAAATTTTGGAAGATAGAAAGAAAATAAACTCACTAACGCCGAATCACACAAATGCATCCATGGTTTTAATAATTTTGTTTTATAAACTCTACGACTGAAATATGAGTATTTGAAGAAACCGGATTTGGATCCACGGATCAATCCTCGAGTGCAAGTAGGAACCCCATGATAGATTTATAGCACTAGGGCCATATTTCCATGGCAATGGCAAGGTGCTCTTACAACATTTTTCTCAGAACATTAAACGGGAGGTGAAAAAACAACATGCAACGCAATGAGGTGGACAAAAATTAACAACATAAACTCATTATGTTTAACTTTCTTAGATAAATAAATTTTCTAAACATATACAAGAGCATTAAGACATGCTTCTAGACCACTGGTGAATAAATTAAATGCCAAAGCATGTACTGATACTAATGCACTGCAGATTTTACAAGAGGATATCATAGGGTTAACCAGAGATCACTATGGACCTGCTGTAGGCATGAAAATGTCTTCATCCAACAATTCTGCAAAATCTATGAGATCATCATCCATATCAGCTCTCCCTTCTGAACTATTCACAGCACTATCACATACCACCTGCAATGTCAGTTGAAATTAGAGAATTCATTCAACAAAAAACAAATGCTTTATAGCCCAAGTGGGCAAGAAGAGAGGCTCTTCTTTACCTTGGTTTCCTTTATCTCAGTAACAACATTAAGTAGCCGACGGTATTGATCTCTTGCTTCAGGATATTGAACCATGGACTTCACCCTAGCAAGGGCCTTTTGCAACCTTTCCTCATTTTGCTTTCTTCCTTCTTTCAGTAAATCATAATCATCATCCTTCAAGGATGAAACTTGTATGCTGGGGCCCTCAATAAGTGTCTCTGACTTGAATCCACGCAATCCACTTCCTTTTCGTCTCCAACGCAAAATAATCTTCTCTACAATTCCTACGGACCACACTATCTTTCTGTAGTTTTTCCTCACCTGGTGGCCTCTTACATGAGCCTTTTATCAATAAATTAGAAGTTAGATTTCAAGAATGGATTTGAGTAAGGAACAATGCCTATGGCAGAAATATGGGGAAGATAAAAAGCCTGAAAAATTGAAGTAGACCACAATCCTTATTAACAAGAGAATCATGACAAATACCTGAATTTTGACAATACGCTGTCGGATTATCAAATAGTCTTTTCTACCCTTCCAACTACGGAACTTATTTTGAATTCGTATTGCAGCAGCATCAAAATGCTCATCACGTTTCCCTGGCTTATGTGACTTCACTGCAATGAGTGACAGTGCATGTTCATCTGAAATTCCAAATTCATTGCCACCATATTCTTTCAACTGCTTCCTCTGAAAAGATTTTACCCTGAACGCTTGATGAATACGAGCAGCAGCTTGGGTGGCATTACAGACAGCAGTTAAAGAATCTCTCAGGGAAAGCCCATCCGTTAAATCCCCATTCCTGATAGGAGTTGCAATTCGTTCTGAAACTGTTTGTACTGCATTGGCTCCTGAAATCCCAGCATTATTTCCTTCCTTGATGTCCAAATTAAGAGTGTCCAAATTAAGAGATGAAAGGTGGGCGCTCAAAGCAGATTCGGCAAGATAACCAGCAATTCCTTTGTGGCCCTGTGCAGAAGCTAGGTCTGCAGGTGTTCTGCCAGTAGGGTATTTGGTACTTGGATCTGTTAATGCTCCGGGAGCCGCGCCAAGGGAGATGAGGGAAGCAACTGTGCGCTCTCTGATATTAATTACAAGAAAATAAGGAAACAAAACACGTTAAATCAGACAAAACTAAATAAATAAGTCAAGAATGAAGATAATATCTAATAAACTGAAAGAAAGAGTTTCTAAGGTGCTCACCTGCCACAAAAAGCTGCCCAA